TATTGGGCAAATGAGTAATAGAATTATTCATATATCTTCTCTTTGTCCAATTGTCGCCACATTTGTGGAAGACACAATTATATATTCTCCGCATAGAATAAATGTATACACTCATCATGAAGAGAGTATATTATTGACTTAGAGATATTTATTAGTGCATGACTATCATAGAAGATAAGCTACAACTAATTTATATTAATTGTGTCCAAGTAGATACAATGTCATTGAATTTGCGAATACCTAGACGAGAAGTCTATATGCCAATATGCCCTACACCAAAATTATCTATCAAAAGACTATGTACCTATGCAGTGTCTATAGTTAATTTGATTGATAATGTTATGTCCATCTTCTACGTATAAATGACTTTACAAATGAAGTATTGTTTTTATGGATGTATGTAAATTATTTTGAGTAAATTGGTCATTTACATTTGAAGCAATTTTGGCCTAGATGCAACATGTTTAGTTGTTAGAATTGATACACAAGAAGTTGTATTATTGTCAACATGTGCATTTGCACGCACATATATGACTTATACTATTAATATGTTCATGAAGAACATGCATACTCAAAATTTGTGGAAGGAAAAGAATTTGGTGTATTTAAATTTGATGTTCAACTTAGGGGGAGACGAATAGTAATGACAGTAATCTTGCATTCGTTCTTTTGAGATAATATTTTACAATACACGAGTTACATTATAGTTTAGATTAAGTTCAACATGAAGAACATGGTTAAGCTCATGTAGAGCATCTTTATCTTTTGCTTTAGGCATAGAAGCTTCTGCATTAGATTACTGAATTTTTTTTTTATATAGGTCATCTCACCTTACCTATATTGCCTTTTTTTACCTATAGTAATTCTTTAACCTTTTGTGGAATAAAATTGTGAATTGTATGTCTAAAATTGAATGTAAATATTTGTCTTGCCTATTATTTGAAGTATTTTTGGCGAATGTATTCTTATTATCCACTAAGCCTCAATCAACCAAGTAGGTTGATAGTTCTAAGTGCATTGACGCCATATTGGCATACATGTAAAGTTGTTTACTTATACACATGAACAATTAGAATATTTATGGTTAAGCATTGAAGCTTAAATATATCCACCCGCAACCACATTATTTCTTTTAGAAAAGTCGTACCATGAAGTTACAACAAATATGTGGGTTTCACGACAACTATTTTGTAGGTTTTCTTACGATTGGCGTGAAAAGGGGGAGGAATATGTGTATTTTTGCAATTTATTTCAGAATATTTGTGATAAAGAAGCATAAGAAATTGTGGATATGTGGCAGGCAAATTGGTGTGTTATAGGTCAAATGCTAGAAGCAAAAATAGCCCAAACTATTAGCGAATCTTATTTGGGATAATTATGAATTATTGTTACACAATGAAGTGTGTTATTTATTGGCCATTGAAAATTGCATATTCATCAAGGAAGTATGAAATTGCATATAGCTATTTGAAAGCTATTGGTTTACTTGTAGTATACAATATCCTAAATAATTAATGACCTTTTGGATTCGAATGATTCTGAATGATCAAATGACACCACATTTACTTTGGCATAATGAATAAAAGTTAGACATATCACCCAATTAATTTATTGGCATATTCAAGAAGAATAAATATTCTCGTAGGATAAATGTTTGGGTGATTTGAAAAGTTCCATGATGGTTAAACTATGTTCATAGATCAATATTTTAGAGTTATAGTTATGTTCTTGAAGACATCATAAAGTTATATAATACTAACACATCCATCTTATGATCATATCTATGTTGCATAAATATAAACATGAAGTTTATTGATCCAACTTAATTCAAGAATTGAATATAGTATCAGTAATTGGATCAAGTCTTGGGCAAATAAAAAGAGCTAGAAAATAGAGTAATTTTGTCGACTAGTGGATATTTGTTTGGGCTTCATTGTCGCAGAATAATAACCCTCTATGAATTGGGATAACCTACAGTATTAGGGATGTGCAATTTTTCATGCCATTGCATTAATTTTTATGTTAGCTCACTGCATATAATATATTTACCCCCTTTATTTTATATAAGTGCGTGTTCAATGAATGAACATTTCCTTCATATATCACCACCATAGCATACATATATGGGCCTCCACATGAAGTTGGGGATACAAATAGACCGAATTCCATTAATCCAGTGCCTATGATAGGGGATTTTTGTGATATGCTATTAGATAAAGATCAAATATCGGCATCAGGGGGAGAAAAGCCCATGTGTTAAAGATGCCTTATATTTTCAAGAAGAAAAAGATCTTTATAAGTAAGAATAACGCACAAGCCAAACTAAACTAGAAGGTTTAGTTTATTCTCCTATAAGCCAGAAGCGGGAGCTTGCCAGATAATTATGAATTAAAGGAGTAATCAAAAGTTATGTTTACTTGTAGTAAACTTTCTGCTAACAGTGGTATACCCTGGGTTTTGAATAGTATATCCACAAATGCAGAGTGACATGTTAGTCAATGTTCTAAAATCTACGGGGACGCCTGCGGATTCTAAGATCTAATGACTATTGTCAATGTACCCATTAATAACTCCTTACAACTCTTGTAGAGTAATCACCATGAAAAGGTGAATTGCTTCATGAAGAGATTCATCATGAAGATGAAAACCCAGAATTAAAGCGCGCACATCTATCTAATTCTGGGATGCGGAACAACCATACATCTTATGTTTGGGAAATGACTAAGATATGGTTTATAATAAATTAACCTCACGAAATGAGTATGTGGAGAAAAGAATAGTTGTCGACAACATCGCCTTTATGATTGCTAATATTTCTCTAATAAGAATCCGGATCCGGAACCAAAGTCCATGGCAGAGTTGCATAGTAGCACTCATATCAGGTCTATTGAAGAAAGCAATGAGGTTGAACCATAGTCGCTAAATAAGTCTATGTGAACATGGAAGTTCAGAATTAATAGGAAATGAAGTGGTGAAAAGCGACGGTTTATTTGGTCATGGGAAAGACTGATATTCTTCTACTATAAATGTATTAAATTCGGCTATATATATCACTGGTAAAAGGCATGAATGAATAAATGATATGCAGTTTATGGGTTATGAAAATCCATATGAAGTTTTCGCTAGAAAGAAAACAATTTCGCAACATATATGTAAATCTCATACTAATTAGTGTCATGAAGCACACTATATTATCATGAAGAGAATTGCAAGACTCGTAGAAGAGTTTATGATGACTCACAAAGAGTTTTTCTCCTAGAAGTGAGAATATTTCTCATAGCAGAGAAATTGACTTCCGGAAGAACAAGTTGATCCTTGTAGGACTACGCTAATGTATGAATCACCGGTTAATCTCCACATAACACCAATAACTCTTACTCCCATGAAGTGGACAGACCCGTTCAAACGAATAAATTTGAAAATCACATCCACTAGCATGCAAGTGGATCGGTAGTTTTCTACATACTATGAAGGTGTAAGATTTTATATATCATGAAGATATACTTATCAATGGTATTTGGCAATCTTATTAATTCCCCTAATGCCAAAATATAGACCGGTTTATGTCACTCTAAGTGGTTTAAGCTAATTGTTGAAGATTAGTGAAACAATCAAATTGGTAATTATTGATAAATCCACTAAGAGAAAGTTGCATAATATTTAATCTCTTGTATTGAGCTAATTATTTTATACATACCGCATATGTGTATCGTTGCAACTTATTTTCCCATAGTCCTCCGTAAGGATAAAACTTTGTTTGTATTGCACATTTGAATAAGTGGTTATACATATTGCTCCTATACGTTGATTTATTTCTCATGTTCATAGTAGAACTTATGAAATAAGTAAACGAAAGATTAAACATTGTGGTAATTTTATTTTCATTATTTTACACATTAATAAAAATGTGGTTATGATATTGGAACATGGAAGTTTCAACGGATCTCTTCTTGAGGGGGAGCATATATGCTAAACATTGATTATCATACTTAAGACTTGGAAGTCTTATTTTTGATTTACCAAGAATTAATCAAATTAATCATTGTTTTGATAATTTACCTTGAAGGTTACTACCGCTATATTGTTGTGTTAATCCAAGTTGATTAATATAATAATGCATATAGATCATTAGCTATTTATGAAGAATAGTCGATCTTAAAGATTATGCGATCAAGAAGATCATGTGTTGTACTCTTTTTCCCTTAGTGAGTTTTTACTTGAATATTTCTCACGCAAGGTGCAACAAGTGCAATATAACTAGCGTGTACGATGTACTCCTTTCTCCTATCCTTTTCTCCCACTAGGTTTTTGGATGGAGTTTTTAATGAGACATGTGTATAGCGCGGTATTCGTCCAAGGGGGAGTGTTATGAAACTATTATCTCCTGCCAGAGATAAATATGGGCTCATACCAAATATATGGATACGTATCCTAATAGGACTCTTCCTATTATGGGTATATATACCGATAGAGAGGTAGAGAGATATGAATGTATCCACATATGAGAAAGTAATAAAGCTGTGATGCCTCTCCCTATATCCGTGTTCATTGTTTATCTATTATGTGCTTGTATGAGAGATCGTCGTCGTCTACTCCGGATCAGCAAATAGGCCACTAGTTATTCAATAGAAACAATGAAAACAGGTTGACAGTGATTTCTCTCTAGAATCTTGTCGCCCATCTCGGCTAATCTTCTGGTTGTAATATTCTCACTACACCCTTCACAGATCTACTGCCATCTGGAACATGATCATCTCTTCCGTTATCTTGTTGATTACCCTGCTTTTGAAAACCAATCGATCTGTTTCCCTCTTTCCAAATATCCCACAACACAAAGATGAATTAGATCGGATACCTTTTCTTTGTGTTGCTCATCCGGCCCATTCGACTGTCCGCACTAGTTTCAATTAGTGATCTGTTCCCTGATACAGCGGCTGAAAGAAAATTCTGCCCAATTCTTTTGCCAAATCCCTGCTCCAACTGCTAGCGAGTATGAGAAATCTTTCAAAAGGTGTTGCATCGTCCCCATGTTCCAAAACATAAATATCAAACACAATAGTTCTTGTTCGGTCATCCTCGACTTTGTAGTCACTCTGAAATCCATAGCCGATTGTAGTACAGCAGCCAAGCAAAGAATCTTTGGTTAGATTGTCCTAGGTTTCCCAAACGGTTTATCATTTTCCTTGGACTAAATGCCATATTACACAAGGGTGGGGTTTGTAGTATCTAACTCTAAGGTGCTTAGCCAGCTTCTATCACTATGAACTGGCGTTGATACATGTTGCGGCTTAAAAACCAGTGCTAATTATAAATATTAGTGCCAATACGTTCTTAGTTATAACTGGCACTAATGGACAAGACTACATCATGCCAGATAAAAAACTACAAAATGGTCTTAGCTACTTATTTTATTGTATCTACCTCATATAGAAGGAGTAATAATCGTGGTTTTGCTTTCATACAAAACGGTCTTAGCTACCTAATTTAATACATCCGCCTCATATAGATGAAGTAGTAATCGTGGTTTTGCTTGCATAAATAATGGTTTAGACAATTGCAGGCTTGTAGCTGACTCTTGAAGCTCAATCCTGTCACCACCTGGTGGTATGCTCCAACTGAACCCCTGCAGAAGCCTTGCAAATAGCATCATTGTAATTGATGTTCCGAGTGACACGGCAGGACAGCCACGCCTACCAGCACTGAACGATACAAAACGTAACTCTGGCTCAGCTAGCACCACAGTACCAGTATTTTTCAGATGTCGCTCTGGTTGGAATTCGAGTGGTTTATCCCATGCTCTAGGGTTTCGACCGAGCCCAATTCGGCTTAACATGACATGGCTACCCTTTGGGATCATGTATCCCGCGACGGTGGTGTCTGCGATCGCGACATGGGGTGGGTTGAATGGGTGGTAGGGGTGGAGGCGGAACGCCTCCCGGATACATGCCTTGAGGTATGTGAGGTTGTGAATGTCGGATTCCTCAACAAGCCTTTCTCTACCAACAACCATATCGAGTTCATCCACTGCTTTCTTCATGACCTTTGGATTGTTCACCATCTCTGCCAGTGCCCACTCTACAGCATTTGATGGGTTGTCCACGGTAGCAAGGATTATTTCCTGCGGCCATAAGATCAAATTAAAACAGTGTTGGATTTTCATCCTTCAAGGGGCAACCTCTAATATGCCTTTAACTCTTTATACAATCAAAATTTTCATGAGAACTTTTGGAAAATTGACAACAATATTAAGTATGTACTGACATCTACTGAGGTCACAACAGTCAAATCTAGACTGGACAAATATATAGAAAACAGAAGAAATCCAGAGATGAACACTACAATGTTAATGTTCATATATAGTTTTGATCTGTCCCTTTTGTTTCTTGATGCGTGGGTTGAGTTTAGAATGAGATAATAGATATGCATTATACTAGACTTACAATTCTTTTCAAACATTTTCATAGCTATTTTTCAAAAAGAAACCATAGATATTTTGCACGTTCACTATCAAATCATCGTAACGGTTAATTTTAACTTCAAAATGAATGAAACCCACCATAGTATATCTTTACCTATAACGAACCAAAGGCCTCACTAATTATTTCTAAAATATAATCGATCACTTCTAGCATTAGAAATTTGGACCAAAACATAAGTACTTCAAGCATACTATTTTTCTTCCGAGGACATATCTATATAGTCCAAGTTTGAAAAAAAAATTAATAGAGCTTATTACCAGCGTTTCTGCCTTGATCTCATCTACTGACAAAAACGGTTTCCCTTGTGCATCCTCCAAGGAGATCAACACGTCCAGAATTTAGAATAAATGTTATATTTTTTAATAATGTTTTTGTAATTTAGAAGCTATATACTCCCTTCGTCAAAAAAAGACAAACCCTAGGTTTTCGTGTTTAACGTTTGACCGTCCGTCTTATTTAAAAAAACTTACAAAAAAAATTAAAAAGACAAGTCACATATAAAGTATTAATTATATTTTATCATCTACCAACAATTAAACGTTGGATACGGAAACCCAGGGTTTATCTTTTTTTTTTTTTGACGGGGGGAGTAGTCGTTACATTTGGAATAGTACCATTCAATACTCTCAAAATGATAGGAAAGAATACTAATTACTCTAGTTCGGTAATACTAGCAAAGTGCCCGTCGTCTCGCCGGCCGCCAACCTGGCGAGCACGCTGGCATGAACCAGCTCGTCGTTGGTGCCACTGATCTGCTCCCACTCCCCCTGACATCCGCGCTTCTCCCCAATGGCAGCCCGATGAGGAGCGGAAGGAGGAAGATGGGCCGGTACCGATCTGATGGACGGGAAAGGGAAGGAAGACAAGAAATATAAGGGTCTCTGACCGGAAATGCTAAGGGGCGATCGATCGCCCCTAGAGCGCTCTCCACCTGGTTTCCTTTTTTTACCGCATTACTTTCCTATTTTAGTAAATTTATGCACCTAAAGTTTGTACATCTTAATTTTACACATCTAAAGTCTAGAGATCCAAAGTTTATAAATAAAAAGTTTATATATCTGATTTAAATTTGAATTTGAATTCAAATGTTTTTTATATATAGTATTTCTATACATCTAAAATTTATACACCTAAAGTTTATAGATCCAAAGTTTATAGGTCAAAAGTTTACATATCCGATTCAAATTTGAATTTGAATTCAAATATTAGTTTATAGACCCAAAGTTTATAAGTCAAAAGTTTACATACCTGTTTTAAATTTAAATTTCAATTCAGATTTATTATATATAGTATTTCCATACATAAGTTTTTTCAACTTTGTGTTTTTTATTTTTTAAAAATTTATGGTGTAGTAGGAAGAGAAGAAGGGGAGAGGAAGGAAGAGTAGTGTATTGGGGGGATGGGGGGTGATTGCCTGGGGCGATCACCCGCCCATTAGGCGGCCCCATCACTGACAGCTGGGCACCATAGGATGACTCAGCAAATTAGACCAAGTCAAAGCACCACATCAGCTAAACTGCTGAGGGAGACAAATTACATCGGTTTTAAAGTGAACTCATTCCATAGAAAAAAAGACCTGCCGGAGTGAATTTGGCCCAATCGGCCCAACAAGCTAAACCAACCCAATTAACTAACCCTAAAACTCCGGCTCTCTCTCCCACTACAAATCGCACGCCGCCTCTCTCCCACTACGCATCATGCGTCATTTTCCCTGCACCACATCGCTCCTCTCTCCCACTCCGCATCACGCGCTGTCGTTTTTCCCTGCTCCACATAGCACTTCCTCTTTCGCTCTCCGTAGCGGACCGTGCGTCGGCATCGCTGCTGCCGCCACCGCCACCTTTTCTGCCACGGTTCTTACACCTCCTCCTCTATCCGTACATCGTTGTTGACGCAAGAAACACACACTGCCCTGGGAAATCTGCTTAGCTCCAGTGCAGGTCCAAAGGTTGACGAGATGCGGGTGTGCCAGTCAATTTAATCCTGCAACTGACAAGATAAGCAAATAGCAGATCAATGAGCCGATCAGCTGACAAGCCGATGTAGTAATTCCAGCCGATAGCCGATACCAGCCGATAGCGATTGGGTTTTGAACAATCGGTTATATGTCCAATGTAGATAATGATATAAAGGATGACAAATAATAATAATATAATCCAGTATAAACCAATCGGCTAACAATATGAATAGAACAAGTATTGATATGAAGGTTAAAGCATACATCAGCTGGAGGTACGATGTCATAAAATCCATAAGATTAGATAGATCAATGAAACCTTTATTGTCATCGGCTAGACCCAACTTATATATTATGCAATCCTTATAAGCGGATGCAATGTCCATAAAACATATCGACTAGCACCCCGATAAAACACTAGTATGAACCTATCGGCTCATCAAGATTTATATTATCAACAACAATCTAGTAGGTCGGACCTAACCGATGTAGCACGAGATTATATATGACAATCTAATACTCAATGAGCCGATAGATCTGTCTAATGTGATGGATATAACAAATCTATTTGTAACAACATTGTGATTGTAGAGATATATCGGCTAAGACAGAAGATTGGACCTAACCGAGATAGTCCCAACTAAACCAATGCGTCTCTAAACACAATGCAACTAGAGATAGAATTGAGACATTAGGTAGGCAAATATATCAACCAAACTAGAGCGATCCAAGAGATCGAAGTGATGCAGCCTTGAACAACACCAATATAGCCAACAGATTCACCAGGGCCGGCGGAACGCAGGGCTTACCCCTTCGCCGGAAATTGAACTGAACCGATCCAGCCCCACGTTAGGTGCTAGATTCTGCCGGTTGATAAGTAAAAACCTCGGAAAAGAGGGTGGCGATGCGCCAACAGTAGTATTATTGATCGAGAGATGTTTTACAATGACCTCGGGTGTACATATTTATACCCATGGGAAGATACTAGTCCTTGTAGGACAAAAAAGAAACTTCCCTAAAAGATAAAAGGAAAACATAAAGTCCTTATAGGACACTAAACACACTTTCCTAAAGATAAAAGGAAACTAACAAACTATTCCTAATTAATAGATAACTTGCCATGCCACATCCTCCTTGAACTCGGTCACTTCTAGATAAGCTTTCTTTAATAGATTAATTTCCTTAACCGAATATAGCAGGAATCCGACTATTGGCGTTGCGATAATTCTCTTAGGGGCTTACCAAATTTCCCCGCTAACACATGCCCCCCAATTTTAGAGTATGAGAACTCATACTTGAAAATTATCTTATGTCTGATCTTGGTAACTCTAAAATTGATCTTCCTTTGCTTCTTGTAATCGGCTTTCATGAGCCGATACTGTTTGCATTAGATGAGCCAGATTGTCAAACTCGTGGCAAAAGAATATATCTATGATAGGTGCTGACAATCCCTGGAATGCAAGATCTGCTAGTTGCTCATCACTTAGGTGCAAACCATAACATCGACTGCGGATATTACGAAATCTCTTAATATTTTCTATAGCCGATTCTCCTGCTTGTTGCTGAACTGATATCAAATCTGAAAGCTTCATCTCATCGACGCCAGCAAAGAAGTAGTCATGAAATTTCTTCTAAAGATCAGCCCATCCTATGATAGAATGTGATGGTAGAGATGAAAACCATGTGAAAGCCGATCCAGCCAAAGACAATGGAACAAATCTAACTTTTAGAGCTTCTTCAGCCGATACCTCCCCACATTATGCTAAGAATCGGCTAATGTGTTCCATTGTAGATGTATCATCCTACCCTGAAAACTTGGAGAAATCTGGAACCTTGTATCGATGTGGCAATGAAACCCTATCAAACCACTCAGGATATGGTAGCCGATACACAGAAGTATGTTCCTTAGGTTTGATTCCAAACCACTCCTCTATTATCTTTGCAATTCTATCGGCCAAATCTTCTCCATACCGATGTATTTGAATTCCCTCTGACCGATATTGTTGATATGCCTCATCATGTCGATACTGATATGTTTACCCCCCGAGCCAATATTGTTATTGTTCTGCAATCTGCCCCCCAAGCTGACGTCTTTGAACAATTAACTCATCAACTGTCAATTTGATCAAATTTTGCAATGTATCCGCCAAAACTTCTGATTGATAAAATACTAGTATGAACCTATCGGCTCATCAAGATTTATATTATCAGCAACAATCTAGTAGGTCGGACCTAACCGATGCAGCATGAGATTATATATGATGATCTAATACTCAATGAGCCGATAGATATGTATAATGTGATGGATATAACAGGTCTATTTATAACAACATTGTGATTGTAGAGATATATCGGCTAAGACAGAAGATCGGACCTAACCGAGACAGTCCCCACTAAACCGATGCGTCTTTAAACACAATGCAACTACATATAGAATTGAGATATCAGGTAGGCAAATATATCAACCAAACCAGAGCGATCCACGAGATCGAAGCGATGCAGCCTTGAACAACACCAATGTAGCCAATAGATTTACTAGGGCTGGTGGAACGTAGGGCTTACCCCTTCACCGGAGATCAAACTGTACCGATGCAGCCCCGCACCACGTGCCAGATTCCGCCGGTTGATAAGTAAAAACCTCAGAAAAGAGGGTGGCGATGTGCCAATAGTAGTATTATTGATCGAGAGATGTTTTACAGTGACCCCGGGTGTACATATTTATACCCATGAGGAGATTCTAGTCCTTGTAGGACAAGAAAGAAACTTCCCTAAAAGATAAAAAGAAAACATAAAGTCCTTATAGTACACTAAACACACTTTCCTAAAGATAAAAGGAAACTAACAAACTATTCCTAATTAATAGATAACTTGTCATGCCGTATTCTTCTTGTACTCGGTCACTTCTGGATAAGCTTTTTTTAATAGATTAATTTCCTTTTCCGAATATAGCAGGAATCCGACTATTGGCGTTGTGATAATTCTCTTAGGGGCTTACCAGCCGTTTTGGTCAAATCCAAGCAGCGTGCGGTGGGGAGGTGGACCGAGTGCATCGGGTTTCATCTGAGCCACCGATGGTCGTCTGCTCCTCCCTGTTGCCCCCTCACGCCGGCCAATACTCGGTGACTCAAGGTGAGGGTATGGACTATGAGCAGCAGGACCGTTGATGATTTCACCGATTTTTATTTCTTCATTTTTCTTTTTCAAGTATTATCGGTCGGTTTAGTTCCGATGCATGTTAGATTTCTGATTGCTCAATGGGTTTCTTAATCGATGTTTGATGTTGTGATTTGTCCTCCTTATGCGATTAGGATTTTATATGGATCTCTGATTTTTTTTTTCTTTGGCCACCGAACGCGATTACATGCTTGCGGAGATGGAACA